ATTCAGTTTAACAGGAATTTCTTTTTTATACTCTTTTCTTTTTTATACTCTTTTTTTTTTATGCTACCTCTTACAGTAGTTCCCTGAAAATATGGGGAACAATGTTTCAAAACAAGTTTGTAATAGCTTCTGTATATCCTACTGACCCCACCGCACAATCCCAGCATCTCAAAAAATGTAATCGCAGAATTCCCGGATTCTTTAAATCAACATTCACTGTTTTCTCCGCCATCAGACGAGAATCAGCTTGCCGATCAACCCGCCTACACAGCGCAGGTTTGTCCCTGGTCCTAGGCAGGAGATATTCTGCCGAACAAGTCCGAAAGAGCCGATCCCCACTGCCATACAGAGGATTAGCTTGCCGTTTAAATCGCCTACACAGTGCTTGTCAGTCCCCGGTGCAGGTAGGAGATAGTCTGAAGAAACACACCAACTACTACGGAGCTATATCCCAGTATGAGGCTTTTGTCTGGGCAGAGATAGGTCATAGTGTGTTTGTAACCTTTTTTTTTTTTTCTTTTTTTTTTAAGTGTAACTGTACTGTTACTGTGTTATTGTGTATTTTATGAGCCGCCGAGTCCCGTTTAGTGTTGTGTAACATAACTGTTGTGCTTGTTGCTGCTATAATAGGGTTGTTCCATGCTACTGTGCTTTGTTGTGCTTAAATCCGCCACCGCGAGTAAAGTTGTTAAACTGTACTTTATTAGTTAAAGGTCCAGTGCTGTGGCTGCGGCTGCTGGTTGAACCAAGTGGTTTTGTTGCCTAAACCTAACCAAACTGCTACTGAATACTGAAATTATTATTAATTACAAAGTTTGACCCATTCATCCACCACAACTTACTCCTTACACATAATTTGTTGCTCTTTATACCACTACTATTCCTATTCCTACTTCTACTAATCTTTTCTGTCAGAAAGGGCTTTGTGGCAAAAAGCGTTTTGGCTAGCTAGCTTCTGCTAAATTAACCCCTTCTTGACCCGAGAGCCCCTTGCTGGGGGGGCTATGGAGAAAGTTTAGCGTACAGCGTGTCGTACAATGCACTTTTCAGAAACGAATATAATGAATGCTACACACATGTTATATACCGACTTAACGAAGAGAGTCTGGGCAACATAATCATGTAAACCATTTTACACACTGCAAACACAATTATACACAAACTAATATAATCAACAAGAATATTTACCACAATATCACGTATTTTTCGCCGTGACTCAGCGAGCCATGCACTCCGGAGAGCTCTACTAATAAAAGGCTAACGGCTAACACGGCCGACCAATACATGTCAGAGCACGAGCATTCGACACAGAATCCAGAGATATCTTCAGAATTTCTCTCCGTGAAACCATTACAAAGATACAGCCAACAAGCACCACAAAACCAAGCCGCTCCACCGCAGAAAAAAACATTAATGCTCCTTACTTTGAGAAGAATCATGAAGAATAAGGTATCATATTCCGTTTTCCCTCCTAAATACACTGTTGCTACGTATTTCAGCGGTGTGTTTCCTGAAGAATGGGGGGCCAGACAAGCCTGAAACTTTTCAATTTGAGCTGTGTGCCATCTTCATTTACTATTAACCAGTAACATATACACAATATTTACACATCTGAACAAATCTCACAAGCGTTACCTGTATTATAACATCAAAATTGTTAAAATAGACCTTGTAGTTACAGAATTACAGTCTTTTTAGTATGGGTATGCAATGTTCGAGCAGAGGCCTAAAAATAGGGCCAGAGCTTATAGGGTCATATATTCGACTTGGTCGGGTGTGAATAGCCTGGTACAAATTAACGCTTTGGTAATAAAAACAATACAATGATTAGTTATTGTGTAATTATTATATAGAGGATAATACACCTGGCACTGGTGAACTACTGTAGCTGTCATATCATAATTGCTGTCTAACCTTTTGACTATACAGTAACAGCATACTCATGTAAAAGCATTTTTTTTATATAAATATCTTTATAATATATATATAAAAAATCTAAGGTGGCCCTGAGAGCTCAACAAATATGGAAATATTCACCAGTTTGACGACACATGCATTTAGCATTTAGAAATAAAAAAACAGAGAACAATCAAATACAAAATCACCCTGCAAAAAACAGGTAATACCATAAAAACAGACGCATCCTGCAGAAAAACAGAACACAACCAAATACAGAAACCTCCAGCAAAACAACAGAAAACACCGCCAAATACCCAAACTCCCTGTAAGAAACAAAGAACAACTAAATACAGAAACTCCCTGGAGAAAGAAACCAACAGAAAAGACCAAATGTTTTTTTTAGTTTATAAATAAATGCGGCACTTTTGTTGTCTTTTAAATAGATTAACATGTTTTCTTCATTTGTATTTGTTTTGTCCAAATGCATGTTTTTTCTGAAGTTACACGAGTATATTGAACTCTCTGGGACACCGTACAAATCTCAGTTAAAAAGCTGTCCTAAGCAAAAGAAAAGAATACAGCACAGTTTTTTATGTCCCTGTTGCAAATGGGTTTATAACATTTCATTCTCAAGTAAAATATAACGTGGCTAATGAAACATCAAAGTGTTACAGTGAAAGATTTGTATCCACATTTTAAAACTTTGAATTCATTCCATTGATGAGGCATTTCTTTACCAATATTTAACCAAAATCATGAGAAGATCCAGAGAACCTTACCCAAACAGACACACCCTCACTATTCACTTTCCTCCCTCTCACTGTCGTTCCCACAAGCACACACACGCAAATGCATTCACACACATAGCAGTTATATCAATTGCACAATATGGAAGACAGTGGGCAGGATTGTGACAGTTTGTCTCGTCAACTCTGTGCTGGAACAGGAGAGTGATCTCTAAATCAGCACCTTTAGTGTCACAATGGAAAAAAGAATCATGAAAAAGCCGCAATTTCCTTGCTTACCTGCACACTCTCTCTCTCTCTAACCCTAACCAATGTTCTGTTAACAAAGAAAGGAGGATATACTTTGTCTTTAAGTGAACAGCAGCTGTGGTAAGTGAAGTGCTTTTGTGTTGTTACTAGTGCTGGGCAAGTTAACGCGTCATTATCACGTTAACGCATTCATTAATTAATGCTGACAATTTTATTATTGCGCGTTAACGTCGTTTTTTTTATTTTTTATTAAGCGGACATTTTTAACAAGAATCGGGCAGTGAGCAGTGAACAGCTGTTTGTGTGGCGTCTCTTCCTTCTCTTCCTGTTTCCTTCACCTACATTCCGCTGGGTCCTAAGTCCCTCCATGTACAGCTTCTTATCACCCTCTATGTACCAACGTACATTTATAACAAAAACCACACATATTACACAGTAATCAGCATTGCATAGTGTCTGACCAAAATGGCAAAAAATAAATGATTCATTTAAATTATTTATTTGGAGTTTTTAAAGTGTTTTGTTTGTAATATGTATAGTAAGCATATAATTTAGTTATCGCTACTGAGAATTTAACAAACATAAAAAAAGGATAAAAACATGACATAGATAGGTTTGCAGTTTTCAAGGTGTATATTTAAATTGCATCTCTTACACACATGAAGATAAAGTTGTGAACACCGGCTGAATATCTATTATCAGAATCATTATAACTGTATTATAACTGCTACTGTGTAAAGGCCCTTTACACATTCGTCTGCTCCCATGATGCATAAGTGTGTATATACACACTTATGTATCATGGGAGCAGACGAATGCTTTGACTGAAAATGGTAGAATCGTTACACGAACATTGCCTGTGTTTATACAGATTAACAGTGTCAGCGGCTATGAGCTATGACTGTGAAAGTTAGTGCTATAATCCTTAGGCATCTGTAGATAACATCACTGTCCTTACTCTTGATCTCTGCATAGTGATGTCTATTTGTCTCTAAGTCAGCATGACAGCAAAACAGAGGGATGAGAGCCTTGAAGGAGAGATGACATAAAAGTGATGAGTGCAAGGCCAAGAAGGAATGACAGGAGGGAGGAGTGACGCGGTGAAAAGCTGGAAAGAAGGATGGCAGGAGATAGAGGGGCAGCCAGAGGCAGCAACGACCGATGGAAAGTCAATCCAGCTTCGAGGAATATTTGTGCTAAACTGTTCCTGGCTTTATGTAGTGTTCATGTTACATACATGGGTTGTATGGGTTACATGCATATAAAAATCAAATAAACACAGGCCCTCTCTACTGTCATGGTTCTCTTTCTTAGGCCCTCTCTGATGTACATTACATTACATTACAGTAATTTAGCTTTTATCCAAAGCGACTTACAACAAGTGTATTCAACATAGGTATTCAAGAGAACTACTAGTCACCAGAAGTCATAAGTGCATCTCCTTGTTTACACAAGCATCTAAGAGTATAAACCAGAGCAGAAGTACAGTGCAGAAACAAACAAACTAATACAATAAGTGCAACAGACTAGTATGAATACAATAAGTGCATGGTGGAAGGCTCAGGGTAGTACATCTTGAAGAGGTGAGTTTTCAGCCTGATGAAAGATGGGCAGCGACTCTGCTGTCCTGACGTCAGTGGGGAGTTCATTCCACCACTGTGGGGCCAGGACAGAAAACAGCCGTGACCGGGTCGATCGGCCGCAGGGACCTCTGAGCGACGGGGCAACCAATCGCCCCGAGGCAGCAGAGCGAAGTGGTCGGGCGGGGGTGTAGGGCTTGACCATGGCCTGGAGATAGGAAGGAGCTGTTCCTTTCACTGCCCTGTAGGCTAGCACCAGAGTCTTAAACTGGATGTGAGCTCTTACAGGGAGCCAGTGTAGAGAACGGAGTAAACCTGTCATGGTTCTGTTTCTTAGGTTCTCTCCAGTGTAAACCTCTCATGGTTCTGTTTCTTAGGTTCTCTCTATTGTAAACCTCTCATGGTTCTGTTTCTTAGGTTCTCTCTAGTGTAAAC